CGCAATTTTTCCCTAATTTGACCATCTTTGTAGCTTCTATGGTTTGCGAGATTTCCATGATAGACAACCATATCTTGGACACAGTGTATAGCTGTAGCGGTAGCGCCAGACTGCACCTCGCATGCTTCACAATAACACCTACAAGAAACATTTTTGTTAATGTCCGTGAATATGTTAATAAAACACGTGAAATGTGTAAAATTCATTTGTTTGTATTTGTATAGATCTTTTAAAATTAATTCACAACACTCGATTGGGGCTATTATTATAATTGTACAGTGGTGATCGCAGGGGTGAATGCTAAGACTGAAGTAAACCTTCCATTAAACTTCCCTCTATCTAACTAAATGGACGTGTTTCTCCAATTTTTGCCAAAATTACAAATTGCAATCGGTTTGAAAGCTCTGTAGCTATTAGTTTTTTTTCCGAACATGTTTCGACGTATTGGAGGAGTTATGTTTTTCATTAACCTACTTAGTGAAATTTAATGATAATCAATCATCACGACCACAAGGTGAACGTAAGTTTGTGTATTTCACTTTGATCAAAAGTTGAATAACTTCGAGTACCGAAAAAACATTCCAAAATATAACCAGGTGTCAAATTCTTGACAGAATAGCTTCCTAGCTGAAACCAAAAATTGCCAACATATGTTTTTTTACGCATGCATTTTGTTTGCTTTTATTAGAGGGACCTACCATCCAAATTTCGTTAAAATTGCTCCATAAATAAGAAAGTTGGATGTTGCACATGCGCAACTCGATTTTTTGCGCATGCATTTTGTTTGTTTTTATTAGGAGGACCTACCATCCAAATTTCGTTTTAATTGTTCCATAAATAAGAAAATTGCATTTCTGCGCATGCGCAACACGATTGTTGCGCATGAATTTTGTTTGCTTTTATTAAAGGGACTTACCATAGAAATTTCGTTTAAATTGCTTCAGAAACAAGATCGTTGCGTTTTGCACATATGCAACACAATTTTTTGACTTTGACAATTTTTTTTCTCCGTTTTTTGATAATATAACCCGGCCCAATTTTTTGTAGGTTGTACACAGGAAAATAAGGTCTTCCAAATAATAGAATAAAAATTTTAGGTTGCCATTTGAAAAAAAAAGTTCGATGCCGTTACGGCGCTCCAAATTTTTTTTCAAAAATCCGGCCCGTTATTTTTCTGTTCGGTATGCCTAAAACATATATACAAAATTTCAACAAAATCCGTCGAGCCGTTTTCTTAGAAAATTGCCAACAAACGTACGTACATACAGACGGAAAAAAATTTTATTCTTTAAAAGTTGCTTAAAATGGTCTAAAACGTCGACATTTGATGAAATTTTTAAATGTTCAAAAAACGGCTATCGCAATAGCTACCTAGCACATGCTAGGAAGCTAAAAATGATACTCAATACAGTATGTACTTCTTTTATGGGCCATATATAAAATAAAGTAAAATAAAAATAAAATAGCAGCAGAAAAAATAAAAACAAAATCGGTAAATTTCCGTTTTTCTGGCAATCTTCGGAATTAATCGGAATTTTCTTGTTTTTTCTTTACAGCATGATAATAATTGTTTAATTTCGCAATTTTTCCCTAATTTGACCATCTTCGTAGCTTCTATGGTTTGCGAGATTTCCATGTATAGCTGTAGCGGTAGCGCCAGACTGCACCTCGCATTCTTCACAATAACACCTACAAGAAACATTTTTGTTAATGTCCGTGAATATTTTAATAAAAAACGTGAAATGTGTAAAATTGATTTATTTGTATTTGTATTGATCTTTTAAAATTAATTCACAACACTCGATTAGGGCTACATATTATAATTGTACAGTGGTGATCGCTGGGGTGCAGGGGTGAATGCTAAGACTGAAGTAAACCTTCCATTAAACTTCCCTCTATGTCTATCTAACTAAATGGACGTTTTTCCAATTTTTGCCAAAATTAAAAATAGTAATTGGTTTGAAAGCTCTGTAGCTATTCGTTTTTTTTTCCCCGAACATGTTTCGACGTATTGGAGGAGTTATATGTTTTTCATTAACCTACTTACTGCAATTTAATGATGATCAATCATCACGACCACAAGGTGAACGTAAGTTTGTGTATTTCACTTTGATCAAAAATTGAATAACTTCGAGTACCGAAAAAACATTCCAAAATATAATAATATTGAATACGATACGAATAAATTTTCATTATGTACCAATATTTTACATTCCGAGTTACATTCAAAATTGGATAGCATCTTGGTGAATCACACAGCCTCCCTAGAAATGAATTTGATAGTTACTGAACCGCGATGGCTTCTTATATAAATAAATTCCTCTATAAACCAAATCTAAATGCGTATCGAGATAGAAAATAACATTTGACATCAATATCTAATGGAAGTGAATTTAAAAACCGCATTATTGCGTTTTGTCCCACTGCTCGAATGATGCAAAAATAAAATACAGTTTTATTGTGCAGCAAAAAATTTGACAGCCGCAGCAGACTGGTATATAAAAGGAGCCAGCCTTGACTGAACGAGTACTATTTTTTACTTATAAAGTTCAAGTGCAAGGTCAAAACTGCACCTTACGTCCGCCTTACATCCTTGTCGCGAATTTTGCATATGTTTCGTTTTTCTTCGTTTTAATGTTACTTGCGTTTTTATTGATTGATTATACAGTGAAACAATTATTAGTAATTACATCTCGAGATACCTTTATGGAGAATAATGAACATGGAATTTCACACATTTTTCTGATGAAGGTTAATGGTTATTATGTGCAATCGTTGCTTATAACTTATAAGCGGAATTTACATCGGAGCATACATTGCACATATTAGTTATCTGATTTGATCGACTTTTACTGCACTCATGTTGTTCTAGTACTCGTATCTGGTTAATTACGGTTCCATGTTAACGTTATGCCATTGACAAATATACTTTTTTTGCGTTTCTTCTTGGGGTGCTGAATGGTTATTGTCCAATAAAAAAGTGCATTAGCACAATCATAGCCTTCCTTAAAAACTTGGCGTATACAGAACGGTCCATAAGTATTTGTCCGGATAAGGCTCTCAGATTTTTCTACCTCAAAAGATCCGCGGTAGATAATGGAACATGGCCCCTGAAAAAACATCACCACATACCATGAAAGCAATTTCAATTATCAAGGAAATACTCATCATGAGAAGTTACCCGAATCGCTGTAGGGATTGGTGACATGTCGTGCCGGAAATTAATGTTGTTGTACCATTTGTCCCAACCTCCTCACTTGGTCTTGTAGGCAAAGGAAGGCGTCACTTAGGATGATAATCCTAATGCAGTGACTAGCGAGGTCGAATTACCTTCAGGATAACCATAATGTAAATCCAGGTTACGGACGACGCAATGTAAGAGAGAGTGTTTTGGCTCCACTAGTGGGGTCGTATGATGTTTTCTTACGAAAGTCGCTATCGCACACATTCTATTCAAAACGCAGGGGAAACCGAAATGGATAGAAAAAATTTCTTCTTCTTATTAATTATTTATGAAAATGATAATTTTTCTACCTACACGTAAGAGCTTTTCGCAACATGCAAACTTTCCAAAAGTAAATAGTAACTTTTTCGATTAAAATAACAAATTAGAATTTAATATACTCGTATATACGGGTACGATTTTTTATAAGGTATGTCAAGGGATAAACTGAAGTTTACGATCCTTTGAAAGCAAGTGTTCTGCATTTGTTGAAATTTTACGATATTTGTAACAACGCTGTGGTAAGTTAATTTTTTCCATGCTAAATCCCATTACTTTTCTATTCTTTGGGGTAGGAACCAGCATGCTCTCATCTAAATCGGAGCGTACACAGCTCTGAAGGTTTGCTAAGGAAGCCAAGGCACCGTATACAGTACCTATTTCAACAATGGTTTCAGATTAGGTACAAGTCTTGTTAACGTAAATTATTAAAAAATGGCTACACCTCGCTTGCATTATTTTCTTTGCTGAAAAACGCAAGTCGCTTTGTCTTCCCACGTACGCGTAATAATTTAGCTCATTTGTTGAACACCCCGTTTATGTCAAAACCTAATCGATTTGATCAAAGTTGAATTGCAAATGGAACAAACCCCTTCACAAAATTGTTTCAAGAGCAGTCTAGTTTTTAACATTATTTTACATTTTGCAAGTATTTATTAGGGTTATAATTAAATCCAGCTTTCGAATTTATCTCAGGGGAGTCTGTTAAAAATAGGTTTAAATGTACCACCCCATACGTGGCAACATTTGATAGTGAACTTTAATTAAACATGGTGGAATTAAATTAGAAACTAACGAATGAATATGACTGTACCAGCCTTGTCGTAACTTACGATATCGGAAATGGGTTTGGATTAATGCCAATATATGAATGTATTCTGGGAAAAATTAAATTTATGCTCCGCTATGAATTATGTTAGTTTACATATTGTCGTTTTCTTTCAAAGCGTCAAGATTACATAGTTATACAAGTACGACAAAAAATGGTCATTATAAGTTGTTGCAGTTAATTCGGAAGGCCACGCATTAGCAAATTTGGATTAGTGTGCTCTGTGGTGAGGTATGTACGTACGTAATCTCTTCTACTTTTGGCGAGCTCACATTACACACTTGTTTTATTATTCCTAGGTAATTGGGCGCGAAACAGTTAGTGGGTGATTCAGACTGAAAAACAAAATTTTATTGTTCGTAACTATCTCGCTGTGACCATCTCTTCGCCATGAATAAACGAATTCGTTGATCATTTGTCTACACAACACTACATTGTCCTAAAAATATTTACTGTTGCGACCTTGAAATTCGTCTAGACAGCGTGGCCCATGCGCTGACTTCATCCTGTGTTTTGATTGATCTGTGGCCAACCACCACACACACACGCCTGGTCATTAATTTAATGCCGTAGACAGTGCATATCGATCTACCTGTACGGGATAATTTGTATTTAAGAAAAAACAACGTATAATTAACATCCCCCTTGCTAGACGCATTCTAGTCGGTAGACAGCGGCAGTTAAAATGCTCGCTAATTAACCGTAGTGCCCCTAATAATCCGCGCCGATAATCTCCGTCGAGGACTAGTCAGATTGAAAAAAATCTTCAAGGACAGGGGAAAATGGGGCAATTATCGTTAATTCCATTTCCGCCATTCGATTCATTAGCATTTTAAATTGGTTAAAATTGAATGCAGGCATTACCTACTTATTATTTATCTTTTTTCAATTTGTTTCCAGGTATCCATGATGACGGACACGGGGTCGACAAGTGATGTCACCGCCAGTGGAATAACGCATATTAAAAAAGAAATGGATTCTAGCTTTCCGGAATGTTCACCGTCGAATAGTGAAATGTACTCGCCAACTACTACGACAATGATACACGACAGTGGGGTATGTAAATTACGATTTCCGGAACACACACACTTAAATCTGTAAAAAGACATTCGAATTTTGTGTATGACAGTCACGTTTCGACTAATCTTGGTATTTCTATCGCCTAATACCTTCGGGAATTCCATTCATCTGAAGGTTGAGATCTTAGAACTGAGATCTTGCCCAAGCTAAATACTTTTTGCGCATTTTATGAAAGTTAAACAGGGTGTTATAAAACCAAGTATTAAAAAAAATTGGATCGGAAATCAAACGAAATATTTTGTTAAACACATTGCTTTATGTTCAAAATTACTTAAAAATGTTATATTACAAATAACCACTCGGCTTGCCCCAATTTACAATAGACTCACATTTACTGGGTTCACAAACACACATCTAAAAATGTTACAAATCGGGGAAGAAGTCGTAATCGGTTGTCATACCACTAACGCCCTTCACCTATTCAGCGTTGAGGTTGCAGTTGACTGGTCGATGTTTAGTTTCCTTGTTTGATAGTCGGTGCCCTCTGCGGTAGTATTATTTCACTACTCGCTTCTACACGGAGAATTCGAAAAAAGAAAATACTTTCGCGGGCTCCCGTTACACCTAACAGCCAACTTGGTTCCTAAATAACAATTTCAATATCTTTTTGGCAAAATCCAGTACTGATTGTCTTCAGATCTACGGATGAGAATTGTATTGAATAGTTAGTAGTAGTTTCCAAAGTCAATTTATACATGCTTTGTCTCTTTTTGGCATGGTATCTGATAAGATGAGTAGCGCGTTTAGCGTATTTTATTTGAAAATTAATTTTACCTTTCATGGGATTCTAATTAAAGGTCTCGACAAAAGGAACTTTTCTACCAACTACCGCCCTTCTTTCTTACCCGTTTTCAAAAGAAGGAGGGTCACTTGTTTCATCCTTCATGGTACTCTAACGAAAGGAATTAATTTCTACCAACCATAGTCCTTCTCCTTGACCCTGTGACACGGTTTAACCCAATGACCCAGTTGACCCAGTGACCTAGTCCAACTCTGCCCCTGACTATTTAAATCTATTCCGTCAGGAGAAAAAAATGACACATCAGCCAATGATATAACAGATTTCCAGAAGGTAGAAGAAGGGGAATGGGATCGAGACTTGGCTTCTTGAAACAAAATCTTGTGACCGTTTTGAAGAGCATCTTCAGCAACAGCGGACTACGATGACTTCAAACAGGTCGTTCGCGCTCGGAAATTCACGTGCTCACTGACCCACCAACCTACAAAATCACGAACAGGGAATGCGATACACGTTTTTGCAAGATATGGGTTTGAATTTGTCTTTGGTGCTGGGTAATATCTCAGACATCCCTTTTTAAGAAGATCTTAGAAGAAAGAGGGTCTCTACGTCATCATTCCTCGCTATCCCACGTCCAAAATCGAACAAGAGGTTCAGCTTCTATTAGGTCGTCCGCGCTCCCCAAGGATGTCCAACGTCGTCTCATCCCTAGCGACCCCAAACTGCCAAGGTTGTATGGTAACTCACAAACAAGAAATCCCTTTTCGTCTCATAGTCGGCATGCTCAATTCGCCGCCAGTTAGTGGCGCTAGGTGAGAAGAACTAGGAAAACTTACCCCACACTACTTGGGGGTGGCGTCAGCTCTTAAAATTTTGACGCTATCTGAAGCTATGTGAGCAGAACACAAATTGTCAAAATTTAACACGAAATAAACTGGTGGCAATATAAAAAATGGCCCCCCACACTATTGGGGGGCTGACAATCATAACGATTGAATTTGGAAGTGATAGGAGGCGATGGTGGTGTTGGCGTAAACATAGGACCCCGGCCCCTAGTCGAGGTTTTTTCCAAAATTTTAAACAATGCTAGCTAAACTAAAAATGGCGCTAGCAGACCCCAGGCAGTAGAACACAAAACTTATTGACTAAAAGACAACATGGGTGGTGGTGTCTATAGAGACAGTGTGGTCATACGGTGGTGTTATTTTGTATTGGTAGTTGGGGGAGATTGGTAGAAATTAACCTGGAACCAAGGTTATGAATTTATTTTGCTGCAAACAACAGCCTTATTGTAATTGCAACCATAGCAAAATCTACTAATTCGATTAAACCAATGATAAATTGGAAAAAACATGGCCGACATGGAGCACATGACCACACTGTCTTTATACAGTCACTGTAGTCAGAGCAGCCTGCCCAGTTAAAAATAAAGATCAAAAATAAACAAATAAATACCCATAGACGGATTGTTTTGTACAAGTGCTATGCAAAAAATACTCCAATTTGTAGTTAGGGTACTCATTCATTTCTGGAAAAGTTCTGCACTCATTTCCGAGACTTTCACTGCATCATCATTTTTGGCTAAACGAGACGAAACTGTTAGGTCTCGTTCATCCAAAAATGATGAGGCTGTGAAAGTCTCGTAAACGAATGCAGAACTTCCCAATTTACGAAATAACTTATGAATCATTGTATAAAAATGCCACAAAACTTCTTAGTGTTATATTTTTAAAAGGAATGCTGCTATGGTCGATAAACTGATAATATAAAGACGCATTGTGTTGTTGATCCTTGTCGTGTCTCGTCGTTACCGACCTCAGCAAATTGTAATTGCTGACATATAAGCAAGCGATATAAATGCCAGCCATTCACGGGAACATTAAGAGTATGAGAAGGAAGTAGGGATTGTAATTTCTGATGTAACGTAACGTAACACATTATTAAATATTAATTGAAGATGAACAGACCTAAAAGGGCGACAAGGGCTAGTTTGGTGTTGTACGAAAGTGAAAGCTCGGATTTTTCCGATTTTTCCAGTGGCAGTGACGAGTTATACATACCAGAAAATGTAGGTGCGAGAAAATCAATCTCGATAAATCGTCCCAACAATTCTCCTTCATTTCAAACACAAAGTACAGGGATATCCGGAGTTTCTAGTCCACAAACGTTTTGCATTGAAGCTCAAATGCAGGTATGATCTAATAATAATTACAAATGCAGTGCTAACGAATTGTCTTGAATATCAGTGCCCTTTTCAATTTTGTAAAGACGTACGGCAGACCCTTAGCAATCGCCTGACTGACTGTAGGAGTTTTTACATATTGTAATTTTGGTGATTTTTAACAATTGCCCATTTTACTGTAGAGACTATTCAAAATTCTCTGAAAGAGATACGAAGTGGATGAAATGGAAGCAAAGTTGCGCAATTTGGAGACGCATCTTTCCCTTATTTATTATCGATTTATTTTTAATTTTTTTGTAACTATTTGAAAACAAATGACATTTTCTCATTGCAACTTGGGGGATGGGGAGGGGGGGGGGGCGTGTAAACACCACTCAGATCGCATAAGGATCATGCCAAATTTGAAACATTAGAAATTTCGTTTCTTTAATAAAAAGGCTAAAACATGAAAACGTTGAGTACAAAAATTGCACGAGTGGCATCCTGTGGATGAGAGTGTGACAATTCTGCGAACCTGTAATACGCACATTACAACCAAATTATGTACCATACTTTTCCTACGACCTCGGTGAACTTCAAAATGAAAATAAGGCAAAACTCAAAACGACGTCTTTTGACATATGTAAATAATTATCAGTATCACCTTCCAAACGTACTTGATCTATTGTAATTTTTGTCATTACGCACGGGTATAGGTAATGGGACTATATCATGCGTCTAAATTATACGTTATGACCTCATTTTCAGGGAGATCGTAGTAAAAACCATTTATTGATTGCTATTATCTACGGACAATTGTGTAATTAATGTAATTAACTCAAAAAATTAACTTACAGATTGATTTTGCGACCGAGTCTGGGAATCAATACGAAGCAAAGTTACGATCATCCAGCAGCCCAGAAAGACAATATTGTTCATCGACCACCCAACCGCATACCGAATCTGGCATCAGTTCAATAGAAGTGAGTACACTACATATAATTTGTGTTTTTACTTGTTTATCATGCCGAATCTACTTTTCGATCCCTTTCAGAATGGCATGAAAGAAGAAGATTCGCCACGTAGATTATGTCTTGTTTGCGGAGATGTTGCATCTGGATTTCATTATGGTGTGGCCTCCTGCGAAGCATGTAAAGCATTTTTTAAACGGACAATACAAGGTTAGTACACTCTACATTGTTTTTTCATTTTTGCTATTATCATTCACATGATTTTTTTGTTTATCACATGCCAATCTTGTTAGTTTTTTTTTAAATATTTTTGTGTCAACAGTGTCTTCTTTATTTCTCAAAAAATAGTATAATTTGAAAAGACACCTTTTGTGATAAATCTGTTAGTAAACTATACACTATACAGGGTGGTGACTTGCGTAACGCTTCATAGTGATTTCAATGTAAAATTCATAACATGCGATTATTGGCTCCCCAAATTATTTTAGAGCAAAAATGTATGAAGGTTTTTTGTAGAAAAAAATTGTTTACGTCAATCAACCCTATTAGTTTAAAATTTTTTGCAAAATAAAGACGGAAAATTGGAAAAATAAAACCCCTTTTTCAATAATAATCTGTGATGCTATGGAATTTTATAATACAAGAACTAGGCCAATATCCGTCAGGAGCCATGGAATGTCTGCTATAAAACAAATCAAATTCTATCAAAAAGTATTATAGAACAGCGAATTCAACATAAAGAAAGACCAAATTACTAAAAACGGTTTCCTAATATAACAATTTACAATAACTGCAATACAGTAACTAAGTCGATCATAAAAGCCATTTCGAACTGCTGCTATTGATAACTAGATATCTTTTTGTGTTAGAAAATTCCATGGCATCACAGATTATTGAAAAATTGAGGGTTTTATTTTTCCAATTTTCCGTCGTTATTATGCAAAAAATTGAAAACTAATGCGGTTGATTGACGTAAAAAATTTTTTTCTACAAAAAACCTTAATACATTTTTGCTCTAAAATAATTTGGGGAGCCAATAATCGCATGTTATGAATTTTACATTGAAATCCCTATGATGCGTTACGCAAGTCACCACCCTGTATAGATGTGCTACAGAACTCTAAAAGCGGGAGTGTGCCATAAGAAAAAGGTGCAAACAGTTTGAAATTTCAATAGTACACTTATGGATTTTGCATTTTTGGATTTGACAGACAATTTTACACCTGATACGGTTGTTTTCAGTAATTTATACAAAATGTAAAAAGTATTCAATTTTATTTTTACTCTATTAAACCGGAAGTGAAAGGAAAATTAAAGAGTTGAGTCTAGTTATACAGTCCAGACGTTAATAACCCTCCCCTTTCTTCTGTATGGGAAACTGTTTAAGATATCCACTTCAAATTTGGGGTAGAGGGGCATGGTGACTAATGTATACTTCTTGACATCAAATTTGACAGTTCTAACTTCCAAGGGTATTTTGAGTTTTTTTAATGATATATGATTTTGAAGGATTTTCAGCCACAGTACGTCTCCCGAGTTTGAAGTCTCCACTGTAACCCCATCCAAGATGGCCTTTCATCAAAGTGTATTGTTTCTAAAATTTTTATTTATTTTTTTAAATTTATTTATGCCTTTATTTTTGAGTGGACAGGGTTTCAGCCAAGGTTGCTCTACCAATCCAACCCACTATACATTTACAAATATCTATGCTCGAATCCGGATTCGAACGAGGGACCCTTAGTACCACAGTCCAGATTGAACTGAACTACACTACACGAGCCAGCAAAAAATACCTACTTTTAAGAGGACGTTTGGTGTGTTTCATATACAAATTAAAGTCTAAAAATTGGTGCATATCAGTTGTGCAGGAAAAAAAATTAAAATTAAATTTATGGTCATGACATAAATAATTTCACCCCATCTTACCTGGGGTTTCAGTGGAGATTTGAACGCTCTGGAGATGAACTACGGATCGAGACTTTCAAAATGACCCTCTCTATTTAAAAAGTGACCCAGTAGCCATTTTGGAAGTTGAAACTATCAATTGTATGTCAAGATGTGGTATTTTATACCTTACTCACCCCCTTCTTCCCCAAGTTCAAATCGTACTTCAAACCGTTTCCCGGCGAGGGGGGAGGCGTCCGCACTGTATGGAGTATTATACAGTATAATACTGTTTACGCAGGATCATGGATATCATTTTTTAAATTTTTAACATTCATTAAAAACAGTGCTTCAGTCATTTTATATGCAAGTAACGCAATTTATTTATGCATTTAATCAAGACTTAGATTTTCGTTCTATGAATGTTTTGGACAGTATAAATGTTGTCTTTAAAGTGAGCACAAGTGTAAAAGGATTTAGCAGCGTTATGTTGGCAAAAAGTTTGGCGTTATTGCTCCTGTGAGCTTTGATTGCGCCAACTTTTTCGCCGTTCTATTATAGCAGCTCTCACCCTTTCTTTATCTCCCTTTAAATCAATGTTGGGGAAATTTTAAGAGGATGAGTCTAATGCACTCCCTCATCATTATTCATTAGAAAGCATTTGTTTTGGAAATTGTTACTCTTAGATAAACATTTAGTTTAGTTAGTTACTTAAGTAATTATTGATGTGAGCAATTTGCTATAGAGGGGGTAATTTTTATTGCAGGTAATATCGAATACACCTGTCCTGCAAATGGAGAATGCGAAATAAATAAAAGGAGAAGAAAAGCCTGTCAAGCATGCCGATTTCGCAAGTGTCTACGATCCGGCATGTTAAAAGAAGGCGTAAGACTGGACCGGGTGCGAGGGGGTAGGCAAAAATATAGGCGTAATCCCGAGATGCCCTACCAAATTCAGGTGATATCCACACAAAGGCCATCCGTATCACTGGACGGTTCGTTCTTCTCAACCTGCAATTGTAAATGGTTTCAAATTTTTTGTTTTAGATATCAAAATGTTGGAAGTATTAGCACAATGCGAACCAGACTTATTAGATATAAATACGACGTTAGAAAATATGAAAAACCGATCACTGTCCATTTTGAGCGACCTATACGACAGAGAACTGGTCGGTATAATTGGCTGGGCGAAACAGATACCCGGCTTCACGGAGTTGTCTCTCAATGATCAGATGCGACTATTACAGAGTACTTGGGCGGAAATTCTCACGTTGACTCTCGCACATAGAAGTTTGCAATTATTAGGATTAGGTAGACTGAAATTTGCGACGGATTTCACTTTGGATGAACGTCAGTCGCGTGATTGTGGAGCAGCTGATTTATATTTTACGGTAAGTTGTCGACGGTGCGCGCATGTCGTTCGTTTGTTATTAATTTCTTTTGTAGTGTTGTCATGTCGTGGAAAGGTTAGACAACATTAGCATTTTAAAAGAAGAGTACTATCTATTAAAAGCGTTAATTTTAGCCAATTCTGATGTACAATTGGTCGAATCTAATGCTTTAAAGAAATTTAGAGATTCTATTTTAGTTGCATTATCGGATACTGTTTCTATATTAAGGTAAGAATCCATCACTATTAAAAAAAACTTGTTTTGCTCTCATTGCATTTGATAAGCGATGTATACTTATTCAAAATCGTCATATTTTAGAATAAATTCGTTAATATTTTGAGGTACCAATTTCTACTAGAAGGATTTATTTTGAGAATTTTTTATAAATGTGCGATAATTTTAACAAAAATCCTTACATTATCAACAAAACGAGGCTGATGGGGAGGATAAATCCCAAGATTGGGAGATGAATTGATCTTCATCTTTTTTACGTTATTTATTTATTGTACAATGAGAAAATATTACATGCATCAGTCATTTAAGTATACTTGACAAAATGCTGCAATCACCAGATATTTAAAAAACAAATTTAGGGCTTGGGGGGGGGAGCGACAAGTAATCTGGGGATGTAGTGGCTATGTGCAAGTACCCTGCATTAACCGAATAGTTGTAACTCACCTGAATATATACTGTTGGAAAAATTTTTGTTTTACATGGATGAAAATTGAAGGAAACCAAAAAATTCGTTTTACTTATAAAGATATTGCAAAAAAAATCATTTTTTCCTAACATTTCAGCAGATACAGAAAAATAAACACTTCCTCATTGTGCAGTTTAGAACACTACAAGACACAGTTTAGAGATTTTCAACACAACGTTTTGCTTTGGAGAAATTATCAACATTATTTTTTACATGGCCTATAAAAAAAATACACATTGTATTGAGTAGCATTCTTTATTACAAATACAACGATATACCAAGTTGGAAAGTGTTCGTTTCAACAGGATGGGGCACCCGCACACAATGCTCTAATCGTGCGAGAATAACTATTAGAAAAATTGGGGTGGTATTTAGGGAGTCCTTAAATCATAATATATATTATCTTTTTTTGTTACCAAAAAAATAGTCAACATTATCTTTACCATAGCTCACTTAAAAAATAAAAAGAGGTGCTATGGATGACTATAACTTCCCCGAAAAATGCGTTGTTTTTTATCATTTCTCATTGAAACTTTCAATTTTGACATTTGACGAATATGAACCACGACCTTCAACAAGCTATTACTCCGTTCGTATTACTTATCCATTCAGGGTCCCGGGACCTATTTTTAAGGAAACATTTTTCGTCCCTGAGAAGGGATGGTATCCATTCCAAGGGTAAAAGCAACACAGCTGCACAGAGTCAACTTTGAAGAAAAGGGTAAGTAGATCCTAAATCCAAATTTTTATTAGAATCGGTGCTATTTGGCAAAATGATATAGGAAAGTGATCACATTTTTAGCTGAGATGAAAAACGCACAGTAATAGAAACTGCAACTGCTACCGCTAAGATTTTTATAAATATATTTTGATGAAAATTTCTAAGATTTTTAAGATTCCTAGAAAACTTTTCAGGAAAAAAAAACATAGTTTTGAAATTTGCCCAAAATGTTCTTTGGACCTTCCTCTTCCTCTTGAACATATCCAAGAACATTGTTTTGTCCAACCTGATGCCCTGTATTTGCAGCTGTTTTATAAAGTTCTTGAAGACCTGTTGTCACATATACACTGTGTCCAAGATAAGGATGGCTATCATGGGGATCTCTGAAACCATAGAAGATACGACGGTCAAATTAGGGAAAAGTTGCGTAATCAAACAGTTATGATCAAGCTTTATAGAGAACTAGAAAATTCCGATTACTCCCGCTGATATGCCATAAACACTGAAATTTGCCGATTTGATTTTTATTTTTTTCTGATGTTATTTGAACATATACAAAAAAATAGAAAACACTTTCCCATTGCCATTGTCTACAAGACAGCCTTGAGAGATGTTCAATACAACGTTTCGTTTCGGACAAATCATCATCAACTTAAATTTTTATCTGGCTCTTAAAAAAACAAAAGTTGGAAACTCTTGCTTTCAACAGGATGGTGCACCCGTACACAGCACTCTAATCGTGCGAGAATACCTATCGGACAAATTTCCTTGCAATTAAAATCCGATAGGTATTCTGGCACGATTAGAGCATTGTGCACGGGTGCACCATTCTGTTGAAACCAACAGTTTCCAACGTTTGCTTTTTTGTGTGTGAAATATATTGTTCGATTAGTATTAAAAAATGCTACACTCAATACAGTACTTTTTTTTGTGGACCAGATACAAAAATAAAGTTGATGACTTCTCCAAAACGAAACGGTGAAATTCTCTCAAGGCTGCCTTGTAGAATTCAAAAAGTGGCAATGAGAAAGTGTTTCTTATTTTTCCGTACTGCTGAAATAATTAAGTTAAAATATTGTGACGCTTTTTACAGCTTGATAATAGCAGTTTACTGGGACTATATCTGAGAATTGAACATAGACAAGAATGAGAAAGGAGAGTTCTAGGAAATTTTTCGGGAAATTTCAAAACGCTTTTCAAAAGGGTTTCATAAAAGAAAGAGTTTTGCGAAAGCGTTTAATATTAAAATTCCTTGAAATACCTTGCAAATAAATTATTCCTAGAAACAGTGGCGGCCTTCCCATAAGGTCGAGTAGACTAAGGTCAACCAGCGCAAAGGCGTGCGTGAAGTGAACACTATATTTTTAGCGCATTTTTTGAAAAAAATGCGCTATTCGTTATGGCTGGCTGTCCGACTGAGATCTCGGTAATTACAATACCTAGAGACTTCAAATTTTCACTAAAAGCTTTCTGATGTATATTGTAGATGTGCAGGCTCTAGTCTATTTTGAGATAGATTACTCGTGAGATCGATCATTTTAAACTTTGCTAATGAAATACTCATCTGCATTACCAAAAATGCGCTTTCATCATGCATATGCCGATTTACAACTTGTTTCAATTTCACACTCAAAAATTAGAAGGAACGGGAAAAGTTCCAATACAGTTTTGAAAGTGGTTAAGTCGCTAAATCAGTAGAAAATCCCACATATTAATCTATTTATTGTTTCCAAATGCCACCTCGTCATTTTTTGGCCCGGTATACGTCTCCACTTACCACTACTTGTAATCTGCAGGTTTGTGATAAAAGCCTCCAAATAAATGCTTCTGGAGAAGATGTAGAGATATCAAAATGCGTTTGGTAATCTATTCAGTAAAACTGGAATTTTCTTTACAGGCCAATAGGTGCCTTCAATCACGTTCAGCAGTTACTCTTGTGCATGCCCGCATTGAGACAAGCCGATCATGTGGTTCGCCGATTTTGGTCCGACATCCATCAACAAGACCTCGTTCCAATGAATAAATTATTTCTAGAAATGCTAGAATCGTACTGTAGGTAGCCTTGTGTGATCAACGACTAATGTAAAATGATGGAACATGTTCTTTGTGGAGTTATTTTTATATCGCCATAGGTTAAGAACATGTTGTGGTCATAATGAATCATCCGTCATCTAGGATAAGGTATATTTAGGTTTCCAGTGATAGCTAATGTAGTTCTATTTGTTTTAGACCTGTGGTTAGGATTTTATTGTATATAGATATACATACTTTTAGAGGAAACACTGCATATCTTGAATTTATTTTGTTTAGGTTGCATATATTATGCATTTTTATGTATACCTCATTATTATTTTTAGTTCGACTATTTCATTTTATTTACCCACATTCGTTGCTAGTGACGAGTTTGACATTGTTATCTAGCTGATTTCTCACCATGTGGATCATGGCAGCTTTTTAGCAAGTTTGTGGATGGCCAGGTGTCATTTCAAGATTACACAATTACTGTTCATCAGATTGGTTAGTGCAATTGTAGTTGATGTATGATGTCAAGCTAAGTCACTTGGTGTGATTTACATTTTTGCCCTATTAAGTTAATATCTAATGACTTTTATATCACGTTATACTTGACAATTTGTTTATACAATTATATCATTTTGTGTTGCAGTCACTACCAATTACACCAATTTAATGAAATGTAAGCATGTTTTGGGAAATTGTGGCTTATTTTTCAATAAATGTTAATAAAACAACAACAGCGTTTGTAAGCTGCGACTACCAGTTTCATAATTTTATATTTTCATTCAATATTAATTTAATTTATTCACAGGGTGTCCCAATTTATCTTGAGACAGTCGACTATTGCAGAAACTAGTGGAGATCAACAAAAAAAATTTATATACAATCTTCATATGGAGGAATCTATTCAATGATGCTATGAATTTGTTCACATAACCGCCCTTAAGTGTCAAGTATAGGGCAACTAATTTTTTTAAATAGAAACCTATACTTTTTATTAAATATTTGTATCCTACATTAATAGAAACATAATAAACTTTCATGGGAAACGTTTTTCCCGCTACACCTACTTTTTTTTAAGACCACTATTTTTATTTTGAGCTAGACAGCTGTTCTGTCAAGAGTGCACATTTTTCATGTGTAATGAATATACATAGCCCATGTATTATCTTGTTACTAAACATTTCTATCTCTATAAGTTAGAAAAAACATGTCAGGTCATAATAATACTTTGATCTTCACGTCACATAATTTACAAATTAAACAAAAAACATTTATTTTCAATATATCTATAAACCCTTTATAATATAAAATTACTACATAATTACTCTAAGCCCCATCTCGTTCTTCAAATACTTGCAAATTTCATTCATTAATAATAATTTTAAAGAATCGTTGGTCATTATTAACGTAGTAAGTTGAACTGCATCTTCCCACGAAACATCCTGCAAAGCAATCTTGATGGCATTGGCAAGATTTTCTCTTTGTGTTGGTGTCATGTCTTCTAAAATTACTTCAGCTACCGATTTAAATTTACCAGAACCATTCCATGCGGCCAGGATAGAACCCAATGTGCCTCCTGATAATTATGAAACAACAAATTAAAAATGTGAAAAGAATGGAAAGCTTTGTGGATTGTGTTGACGGCTTTGTAGTCTGCGAACTATTCCGAAAGTAAATGACGCACAAACTGTTAAAGAAATTCTATTTGTCGCTTGAAACTGTAAAAAATCGACTTCAAGATACATTATCCTAGACCACATACCAATTGCTAAACCAACAGGTCCTCCGAATAAGCCGCCTAACAAAGCACCTCCTCCCGCTATACAGGCACCTTTACCAGACTCAATGATAGTCACTTGTAAATTTCTTTCCTCTGAAAGCTCCACTGCAACCTTCATAAGTTCTTGTTGATTTACAGGCATCCTCTAATTCTTATCTCAAGAATCTCATCATGTGGAAGGTTGATAGTAAATAGGTAAGGTTTCTCCTTTTGAACACTGCACTTATGAGAAACGTTTAAAGGTTGCTAATAATTGCTGCGATTGTACAAAAATTTACAAATTACAAAGTCTGAGTACTACAAAAAGGAAAGCAATAAATACAAAGAAAGTATGTAAGAGAGAGACAGCGCAAACGACAAAGGCAGGCAGGCAAATACGATGTTGCCAAGAGATACTGCTCTACCACGAGCTACAGGGTGTGTAAACAGGACGTGACCTCTGAAACCACATTGATTATACATCAATACGGATGCCACAAGGCAATATTTGTTTATTTATGGTGTTTTGTAACAGGAAATATGCCATTTACTATAAAGCAGTGCAATATAATGTGTTAAATGGAAATCTCGCCTGTACAATAAAGTCGGGTTGCAAGTCTTTAATTTAAATGGCACATTTCAAAATTACAATAGAACTTCATAAAACATAGTCGTATGTACCAAATTTGATTCAATTCGATGTAATAGCCAAAATGAAAAAACATCAAAATTTTGTGTTGTTTTGAGTGATTTGACACACTTGCGCATGTGCCATTCGCCCATCTGCTTAAAATATGTACTAAATTTGGTTCCAATCGTTTAGCCGATAATGAGAGTACAGGCAGACCGAGGGGAAAATCACTGGTGGCCAGCTATTAGCAATTTTTTAGAATTTCCCTAGAATTTTTTAGAAACTTCTAGAATTTTTTTGAACTTTTAAGAATTTTTTCCGAATACACATGCACACACAATTATTATGTTATATAATTTTTAGTACTTTCTTAAGAATTTTTTAGAATCTTTTTTACAATTTTAGTGTACACAACAATTGAAGTGGTTAACGCCGAGGAGAAAATCACTGTAGAATTTTGGTGTAAACTACTACCATTTAGTAGAATGTTCTAAACTTTTCAGAACTTTTCTTGATTTTTTTCCGTACACATACACACACAATTATTACTTTGTAAAATTTTGAGAATGCTCTAGAATTTGTTTTGGGTTTTTAAAATTTTTTTTGATTTATTTTAGAATTATAGAATGCCAGACGGACAATAACATTTCATTTGCCTTTTGGAAAATACGCTAAAAAGTGCGAAATAATTGAATACAGGGAGTTGCGAATGTATGGAAAAACGGAAAACCAATGTCCTTACTGTTCACGGACTACCTGTAGGTATGTGCATTTTTCCGTTGTTTTAATAAATTTTGAACGTCGGCGTCGGCCGTACAAAAGTGGAAATAGATGCGTAATGTGAATTATTGTAGTTGTACGTATAAGCATTGAATAATATTCAGATTTATTATTCAATAGTATAAGCATTGAATTTATAACTATCAGAAGCGCAGGTTAAATGGCAGGATATGTGACTGTTTTCAATAGTTTAAATTACAAGACGTAGATGTCTCGACCATCGAGAAAGATGAATAATAATGTCAGTTTTTTACCTTTGTTAATTATTATACAGGAATCTGTAATGAACCCACTATCTCGATTTGTAATTGTTGTATACAGAATTCTAGATACCCAAGAAACGTACTTATAAGGCATTTATGTGGCACACAGGATGTTGAATGACGTAAGATAAACATTCTTCCTTTCATGAATCGTGACCTTACTTAACATTCCTTAAGGAAGATTGAATTACATTTGAACAGGAAAGCAAAAAATACGCAGGCATCCTTGATCACTGTAACAGAAATTAAATGTACCTACCTATCGCTATCTATTCTTAATTTTTGTGTGTGTCGGTTAAACCGTTGCCACCGGTTAAACTACTTAAGACAGGGGTCGGCAACCTATTGAAACGGAAGAGCCAAAAATTACAATTTACACAATTTCCCAGTTCTTAAAGAGCCACAAATAATTTTTGATTCAATATTATAGTTTTTGGCTATATACAGGGTCCTGCAACAGTCCGTCGGTTTTTCCTACATACCTGATAGATACCTGGTAAAAATATTAGTGGTTGCGGATCTACAGAAATTATTTTTGAATGTACAGGGTGTTCCATTTTTACGATGTCAATTAATAACTGATCTTTTTAAATAGAACATCCTGAATATTTGGTTGTTTCAATGCCGTTTGTTCAAAGTGCTATAACTATTCTTTTTCAAATGGAACTACCACTATTTTATTTCGCTATTCGCTTTTGTCTTCTCTTAAATGTTTATAGGGGTGCCCTGTGCTTAAACTCCGCAGTGTTTAGGTTATTCAATATTTTTCACAAAAGTACCTACTCATTAATTAATTACGTGTTTATACATCGGAGTAGGCTGGCTATAATAAAAAAAACAAAAGAATACCAGAAAGTAAACAAGTGTCAAAAATTAGATAATTATTCGCTGCAAGTATACTTTTGATACAAAATAAGATTAATTAAAAAGGCGAATTTCGAACAAATGAACTAATTTCTTTAGATAAATACGGAGAGCCGCAACTTTATAGGTATCAAAAGAGCCGCAGGTTGCCGACCCCTGATCTAGGATCACACGTCACACCTGGCAATTTTGATACAAAATAAAAAGGTCGTTAACCTCTTTTCTTTTAAATTCTGACGTTTGAAATTTGTTCTCAATGGTTAATCGATAACTTATCGATAATTATCGATTAATAGATAGTCAATCGATAAATTAAAAAAAAATGGTCGACCGGTCAACAAAAAAAGAATTTTTTGCGCATGGGATTTACACAATATATATTCTGACTATAATAAGCAAAAATAAATAAAAAGTGCGATTAAGACATCGAAAATATTTGCTTTTACAAAAGTTACAGCGATTTGATTGAAAGCTTTCAGGGGCGAAAATTAAAGCTGGAATCTTTGTTTTCCCTAAAAAAAAAGAAAAATGGAGGGTGATATTTTTCCGCGGTTACTTAGCAAAGAGGAAAAAAAAATCCTGGAACAGTTTTAAGGCAATAGTCCATGGTTTCCCGTTCAGTGTTTCCTGGGAAACCATAGAGCTGAAAATTATGACGAGCTGACAGGATTTGGTTTTGTATCATGGGGTATAGAATGTCTCTAAAGAATAAAGATGCACAGGTTACATTCTCATTTAGATCAATTTAAGGATAATATGGGAGCTTATTCGGAATAAGGACAACACTTTCTCGAGACAATGGAACTTAGGCACCTTCCCAAGGCCAGGAAGTTGGAAGCATGATGGAAGATCAGATTCAGTTGAACATGACAAAAACAGCAAAACTGTTCCATTTTTAAACATTTAGACTCTAAGATAAACAAATTATAAATGTAGAAACGTTACCATTTAATAAATCATGCCTATGTAAGTAGGATTCTATAGGTATTTTTATTTTTTGGTTTTTTGCATTTTTTTCACACAAAAACAAATACATAACCATTTTTTGTTCTAATTCTTATTTGTGGCTATAGAAGCAATAAAAATAAGGTATATATGTCCCATGCGCAAAAATGCTGTAGACCGGTGTAATTTATCGAAAATGTTAAAGGATTGGTCGATAAACCTATAATTACCGATAATCTATCGATTAATCTCACAACTAAACTATTAAGATAGATAATTATCGAGAGAATTTTTAACGACATAAACTTTTCAATGTTTAGGTATACCAGTTTACTTCCAACAAAAGCGATGTAAGAGCATTGTTGAGTTGCCATATGATCACAATTCACAACCTACTGCTGTACTCATTTTTGAGGATTATCGTCCACTTGATCACCTTTGATTTCAGACAACTTGAGCATCAAAAGATCCTGTTTTATTTAAATTATC